AAACCTTCGCACACCTCCTTACAGCCGAGACACGAGTCGCCCCAGTAAAGACCGTGTCCCTTCCCAGGCTAGAGCTTTGCGGTGCCGTTCTGTTGACCGACATGGTGGCAACGATTCTTCCACATATGCCGACTGCCAGCTCCGACGTGCGCTGCTGGACCGATTCCACGATCGTGCTGGCCTGGTTACGAAACTGCTTGCAACTGGACCACGTTTGTGGCCAACAGAGTTTCCAAGATAACCCAGGCAATACCAGTCGACTGCTGGGCAAACGTTCGATCCGAACAGAACTCCGCCGATTTAGCTAGTCGAGGCGTGTCCCTACACGAGCTAGCGGACAGTCAACTGTGGTGGCATGGACCTGAGTGGCTGCAAGGGCCACAAGAGCTATGGCCAGTACAGAACGATGTGCATCCGAACACAGAGCTAGAGCAGCGGGCGGTCAGGGTGCATTTTAGTAAGCCCCCCTCTGACGAGTTTCTGGAACGCTTCTCGAAGCTGGACAAAGCGTTACGAGTCCTGGCGTATGTTCTACGATTCTTCAAGCGCTGCCGGAAGGACTTAAGAGTGAAGAAATTCGAGAGGCAGAACGAGCGCGGATCTCCATTGCGCAGCGTAGAGCATACGGCCAAGAGTACAAGTGTTTGCGAGAGAAACGGCCCCTTCCAGTGGCATCTTCAATTGTGAACTTATATCCGTTCATTGACCGACACGGTCTTCTAGGGCATGTGGGCGCGTCACAGCGTCACAAGCCCTGCAGTACGATGAGCGACATCCGATCCTTCTGCCCTACGACTGTAGGCTGGCCCGCCTTCTCATTCAGTTGACTCACCAGATTACGCTCCACGGCGGCAGTCAATTGATTGTGCGCCTGATCCGGTCAAAGTATTGGATTCCGAAGATCAAGAATCTTGTCAAGGCTGTGGTGAATACGTGTAAAGTGTGCACAATATATAAGAAAAGACTTCAAACACAGCTGATGGGCGACCTTCCGAGAGACCGAGTCTCCTTCTCCAGGCCCTTTACCTACACGGGCATTGATTATGCTGGCCCCTTCGATATCAAAAATTATACTGGGAGAGTTACCAAGGGATACGTGTATGTATTCGTGTGTTTCTCTACTAAGGCTATCCATTTGGAACCCGCATCCGATCTTACAACCGAGAAGTTCCTAGCAGCCTTTGCTCGTTTCGTAGCTAGGCGCGGTTGTCCTCAGCGGGTCCACTCGGACAATGGCAAATCCTTTGTGGGGGCAGCAGCTGTGTTCTCAAGGGACTTCCTACAGCTCGTCCAAGGGTCCGTAAATGCAGCATACAGTCCCCAAGGACTAGTATGGCGTTTTATACCACCAGGGGCTCCACACATGGGGGGTCTGTGGGAAGCCGGGGTGAAAAGTTTCAAAGCCCTTTTCTACAAATCCACGGCTACACGCAAGTACACATTCGAGGAGCTAGCGACGCTTCTTGCGAAGATCGAAGCTTGCCTCAATTCTAGACCCCTCTCCCCATGTCCGAAGATCCATCCGATTTGCTGGCCCACCAGGCCATTTCCTAATTGGAGGGCCGTTGCTTTCCACGGCTGAGCCCGAAATAAAAGGCGAAGCAAAATCGATACTGAATCGATGGCAACATTTGAAGGCCCAACACCAGCAGTTTAGTGCACGATGGAAAGACAAGTGGCAATTTCCGACCACGAATCTCCAAATAGACGATATGGTAGTCGTCAAGGATGACAATCTGCCACCGAACGAGTGGCGGCTCGGAAGAATCGTTTCGGTTTGTCCGGGCGCTGACGGCCGAGTTCGAGTGGTGGAGATCCGTACGGCGCGCGGCACAATAAAACGGCCCGTCCACAAGGTCATCCGACTCCCTGGGGAGAGTAAAGTCCCCTACGTGTCCAACGATGAAAATCTTTCCGTTTCCAACCACATGACCGACTCCCATTAAAGTTTTTCTTTTTCGTTTCCCCGCAGAACAACTCGACATCATGGTGCCGCGTCCTCAAACCGCCGAAACCCTGGACAGCAGACGTTCACAAGGTATGAACTCCTACCGCTGCCGAGTCTGCCGAGGAATCCATCCTCTTCGGAAGTGCAAGAGGTTTCTAAAACTGAGCACTGAAAAGCGCCTTCGAGCAGTACTGATAAACAAGTACTGCTCGAATTGCCTCGCCCACCAGCACCTCCTTCGAAACGCACGGCGCGCCCGCCTGCTCCGCGTCGGGCGAGGGAGCCGCGGCCGTCCGCCTGCTCCGCGTCGGGCGAGGGGGCCGCGGCCGTCCGCCTGCTCCGCGTCGGGCGAGGGAGCCGCGGCCGTCCGTGATGACCGTCTCCAGGTCTCCGTCGCCAGCCATCGAGGCAACCCGTCCTGCGACCTCCACTCCATCCTCGTCGGTGGCAGCGTTGCTGCACCAGAAGGTCGTTCATGTGCTCCCGACGGCCTGCGTCGTGCTTGATACCGGGAAGACGACCTTCGAGATGGGGGCCATGATTGACCCGTGCATAGCGGTCAGCTCTATTGACCGGTCAATGGCGGCGGCGTATAGGCTACCGACAGTGGAAGCAGGAGAGGACGAGGTCTGCTCGGCGACCATCCGGTCCCGGACCGGCAGTTTCAGCCTCGAGGTGATTTTGAGGCTCGATCCCAGCCATCCCACGGACTCTGAGCGACGCCACCCGGGCGAAGTTTGATGACATCCGTCTCGCTGATCCCTTGTTCCATCGCCCAGCGACAATCTCCCTCGTGTTGCGATCTGACTTGTATCCAAAGTTGATCCAACCGGGGTTCCTGAAATTGGACGAGGGATTGCCCGTCGCCCAGAGCACCGTATTCGGATGGACCGTCTCCGGAGCATGCCGAGAGGCCTAACGCGGTCTTACGTGCGCAAGGGGGGGAGAATGTTCGCGCCACAAGGGCGCTTAATTTCGAGCAGCAGTGTGGGAGCACGAGCTTTCGCTCTCGCTGCTCCCGGCCGTTGCTCGCTCCCTCTCGTCTTGTAGCCGAAGGCGACTCCACGGTCCCAGCAGCCCTTGAGCTGGGCTTTAGTTTTAATTGGAAACGAAGTGCCTAATAAAACATATCAAAGTGAAGCCAACTACGCCTTTTTTTCTGTGGAAAATACATAAAGTGTAACAACACCAACAACAACACTAAAATCAACACCGGCCATCGACGCACGAGGAATTACTGGCTGACGACGGCTGAAGAGTTTTTGGCACCATCCGCCCACTTCATTTCAGTTATAATAATAATATATGTATTTTATAATTCAAATATATGATATACATACATATTTATATATTCTTTACGTACATATTATGTAAATAACCCATTTTTATACCTTTGCAGGGTATTATAATTTCAGTCAGAAGTTTGCAACGCAGTGAAGGAGGCACCTCCGACTATATAAAGTATATATATTCTTGATCAGGATCAACAGCCGAGTCGATCTAGCCATGTCCGTCTGTTCGTTTCTACGCAAACTAGTCTCTTAGTTTAAAAGTAATCGAATGGAATGGAATCGAATGAATTTTGTAGTTAGTTTTTTATATACTCTCACTCGTATATCGGATCGTACAACTATATCATATCGGACAACTATATCAACTATATCATATAATAAATACGCACTACCCTGTAGTACCGCGTGTCATCAATAGGCCACTGTCATTAAGATGTCATCAACGCGCCGACTGCGACTTCTACCGAGGCGACGCTCTGCCGACTGCGACTTCTACCGAGTCGACCCTCTGCCGACTGAGACTTCTACTAACGCTCTGCCCACGATACAGTTATGGCGGTAGTCTAGACGGCAGTCGTCGGCAGTACCGTGGCTCGGCCGTTGAGAAATTTGTTGATGAAACATCGATGAATTGTTGATGAAACATCGATGAATTATTGATGAAACATCGATGAATTGTTGATGAATCATCGATAAATTGATGATGAATTGTTGATGAATTTTTGAAAAATTTTTATTGATGACAGTCTCGGACATGCCCATGTTAAATAAATCAACAGTTTGTATGGCCTGTCATCGATGAAAAATCAACAGCACCCCCTTGACTGTTGATGAATTACTGATGACAGGCAGCTTATTCTTGTGTTTACTCATACATCCAAACGCATTCTATTTTTAAATTTTTACGCTCTAAACTTGTGAGAGCAGGGAGAGCGCCATTATCGTTTGAATAAAAAAAAATTAGCCTCATATTGCAAAACGAATGTATGGTCGTAAGGCATCCTAAAAACTATATAGTCTTTTATTGTACGATACCGCATTGAGGTCAACAAGAATTTATAACACGCGCAACCGTTCCGCTCTCTTTGCACCTCGCCGCTGGTCCTAAGTCTGGTACAAATTCTTCCGCTCCTAGTCCTCCTGCTCCTGATCCTCTTCGTCTACGTTCCTGTCCTTCTTTATTTAGATACCTTTATTAAAAATAAAAATATTCGCTTCTTTTCTGTTTACGAATAGGTTTACCGCGCAAGCTTTGCCGCCTTCCTGATGGCGAAGACTGGATTATGCTTCATTGACTCGGTACCTTATAAGACAGCCTCATCTCTGGAAGAAAAAGATACCTAGATACCCTAGTATTGCTATCAATAGCAGATGCCTCCAAGAGGACACCAGGTTAACTTCTTACCTTAGCCAAAAACCCGGTCCATACAAATATCTGGACAACTGAGGCCCAAATTCGAATATGCGTGGCCCCCCACGAGGCCCACAATTTTTTCTTATTACTTATTTACCTTTATGTTACAATATAAGCATATATAAGTAAACTAATATAGTGACTCATATGTTATAATAATTGTAAACATCTGTATTTCTACTCCTGTCGTATGATAAAATAGATACAAATTAAGTTATAATAAACTTTTTTTCAAAATACCTAACCCCTTGACAGATTTCTGAATTTAATTATTTTTGTACGCTTTTCTAGAAAATGAATAAATTATACATTTTTATTATTCAAAATAATTAATAAAAATATCTTAAACATATGTGATTTATTTCAAATTTTTGGATTTTCAAAGGTTTGTCCTCTAGTAATCGTAATATCTGCATATGGAGCAGATTGAGTAATATGAAGTACCTTAAATTTTTTTAGCACCAAAAGGGAGTAAAACTTTTGAGCGGCCTGAAAAAGAAATTTCATAATTAGATTAATTTTATTATTTTATTAAATTATTATTATAGAGAAAATAATACGTAATTAATATTGCGCATAATTTGAATTTAGATAGCTGCAGTTCTTAAGCTTGATATTAAATTGTTTTTTTTTTTTATTCTGTGTATGTGTATGTTAATTTGATGTTAATAACTAAATGTTGATTTCTTTATTAATTTACTTATATATAACATTGATATTTATACAGTCGTGGAAAAAATATTAAAAACAACAATCAAGAAGCTTGTAGGTCCATTATAAAAATTCGTTCTTCCTTCTTACGCTAAATTTGAATTTTTGACAAGTGGTCAGAGTTCATCATCTTATTCATCTTTTTCCTACGACAGTTGTGCTCGTTAGTTCTATTTAAACAATTGAATAAACTATGAAACTATGAACGGTCCACGGCAGGCCACTGTCTACTATTGGCTCTGCGAACATATCGCTCACCCTGGATGCGCCGAGCTTGAACATATTATCCCGCGTATACCTGATCGCCTACAAATCGCCCGAACTGCCTACATATCAAATATGATATAAGGGTTTTTATAAGAAAAATTAACCTGAAGTTTCAATCTTTAGGTGCTGGTTTCAAGGAATTAGTAACTGGCTAATTCTTCTAGTTCCAGGAGACGGAATCTCACTTCAAAATGCTAAAACTGCTAAGTGAACAAACAGTACTATGAGCAAGTTGCAGAGCCTGAGAGCCCCATTATGTAGTTCAGGCCTCTTATTAAATCTTGTCATAACACCCTGGTCGAAGCTGATGGCTCAGCTGTTGAGGATGTTACATCTGTACTAACATCGAACGCTGCCTCAAGCTCTGGACTGGCGGACCTTGCTGCGCCTCCGAGCCAAGAAATTCAATAGAAACGTGCTGCAAGTCGACCTAGATATTTAACAATTTTTTAGCGTTTGTCAAATTAAAATTTCTCCGCCTCTAATGATCCCAATATCGCGAACTTATACGCAAAATATTTCCATTCTTATCCTTTGGATTCGATACAATCTCTTCGTTTCCCTAATGCCCATAATCATCGACAATGATGTTGTTCATAAACTCACTAAACTTCTGTCAGGTATCCCATTAGCTTTCATTTTTTCCCGAAAGTTGGAAGAAATCTTTAATCATTTCTCTTTATAAAAACGGTAGAAAATAAAATAACGAAAACTTCAGAAGGATTGAACATTTTATAGCGATTCCCAAACTAATTCGAACTTTCTTAAAAATATTTTTTTTAATTTTTTAAGTTTTGTTATTCATCTTGTATAAAACATTGTATTAAAGCAAGTTCCGGCATATATACATGTGAGAGTATATAGAAGGCTAACTACAAAGTATCATTAAGTTAACTTCAAAACTCAGAGACTAGTTTGCGTAGAAACGGACAGACGGACAAAAGGACAGAAGGACAGACGGACATGGCTAGATCGACTCGGCTGTTGATCCTGATCAAGCTATTTAAATGAAACTTTGTAGTTGTTTTCTATACACTCTTACCGGAGAACTATATCATATATCTGCCATAGGAAGAATCAGAAAATTAAAAAAGAAAAATTACATTTTACATTTACATTACATTTTCAGTTTTCAACCGAATTTGATCAAATTTGAAATATAGCCCTTTTATATTACTCTACAATTTTATGTAAAATTTTATGAAAATTGGACTACCATACAGGTGCCATACAAACGATCGTTAGATATAGAGAAAAAAATCAAAACTGTGACTGTCAAACTGTAAATGTAATATGTATGTGAATGAAATGAAAGCAGGCATTACTGCATTGTTTTTTAACATACATATATGTATATATATAATTTATATTGTATTGATTCCAAGTCATCGAAGTTAGCTTCCTTTCTTGTTATTATAAGAATGTATGATGTAGGAGAATAATATAATAATATAATAATATAATAATATAATATAATAATATAATAATATAATAATATAATAATATAATAATATAATAATATAATAATATAATATATAATATAATAATATAATAATATAATAATATAATAATATAATAATATAATAATATAATAATATAATAATATAATAATATAATAATATAATAATATAATAATATAATAATATAATAATATAATAATATAATAATATAATAATATAATAATATAATAATATAATAAATATAAGACAATTTTTTTTTTTTTTTTATTCTATTAATTGTACAAAAATGTAGTGCTTATCGGTTTTTATTACAGAAGCAATTTTCTGGGATATGCTAAAGCGTCGTTATTTAACTTTGCACGGCAAGTAGAATCTTATATTGTGTTTCTATTATTTTAAGACTATACGAGGTCTGTCAATTAAGTTCCCGGAATTTGGCTCAGACTGTCCGGGAAGTGAAGAAATCTTTCAAAATTGGTTACACTCCTTCACAGTAGTCTCCCTTGAGTTCGATGCACCGCCGCCAGCGATGAATCCATGATTGGAAGCACCCCGCAAACCCCCTGAAGAAAGGTCCCTTAGGACGCTCGTCGTGACGGTTTGGACTCCATTTACTCCATCATATCGGTTTCCCTTGAGGTGGGTTTTCAATTGTGGGAAGAGGTGGAAGTCACAGGGTGCTAGGTCCGGGCTGTAGGGGGGGTGCGGGAGCGTTGGAATGCCATTACGAGTCAAAAATTCCCGAACAGCGAAGGACGAATGTGCAGGTGCATTATCGTGATGTAGCACCCAACCTTGTTTGGCCAATTCAGGTCGTGCCGGATCTGCCGGATTGTCTCTTTATTGATGCCCAACTCTTCCTCTAACATTCTAAGGGATACCCGTCGATCTTCGAGTATGCGTTTGCGCAGACGTTCCAGATTAGCGGCGGTCCGCGCGTTGCAAGGAGCGCCTTCGCGAGGATCATCCTCTACCGACTCTCGGCCGCATTTGAACCGCTTAGCCCATTCGTAAACTGCTGTTTTTTTCAGGCAATCATCCTTATACACGTCGGTTAACTGTCTCAAAATTTCGGACGCGTGTTCACCGTGCTTCACCAAAAATTTGATGACTACTCTTTGTTCAATAATTTTATCACACATTTTCACGACGTCGTGTCTTAAGTAGTTATATTCAAATCACTTTAAAAAATAAACCAAACAACCGATTCACATGAAACTTGCGCAGACTGATGCTGAAATAATTATTCTTACGAATTACGGTGGAGTGAGCGCTCTACTGTTGCCAACCGCAGCGCTATTACCAAATTCCGGGAACTTAATTGACAGACCTCGTATTGTATTGTTTATATATTGTGTGGTCGATTTTGTATTTTTTAATAATGGTTGTTTTATGTATATTTTAAATGAGGTATTTTTTTTTATTCATTTTTTGTTTCTTTGTTTCTTGATAAGTGGCAAGGCAGTAGATGAATATGTTGAATTTTTACGCTTGTGTAGCAGTTTGGACAGATTGGTGATAAGGTTTTATAAAGTAGTAGGTATGAGTTAAATTGGTAACGGTTATTTTTATTGTGACTACTGGAGCAATGATGTTTGTAGGTGCACCTTGTTGGCTTTAGTTTATGTATTGGGGTAAATAATTGTTTAGTTTAGAGTTTTTTTAAGGTTTGTGTGTTTTGTTTAAAGTATTCATTGATGTCTATGGACTGAGGTTTCTTTGGATGATCAGACAGATATTTCTATGTTAGTGTTTTGATGTTTCGTTTGCAAATTCCTTTCCTGTGATCTCAAAACAAGAAGATTATTAAAAAAAAAAACATTGACTTTAACTTCAAAAAACTTTGCGCATTTATAAACTCGATTTGCCTTTCTCTTTCTGTACTGTCCTGTAGCTTATCTCTTAGATCTAAGCTTTTGTGCTGTTTGCTTTCTGTTTGATCACGGTCGTGGTGTTTTATTATTTGAATAATTAAATATAATAAATGGTGACTACCAGTTGAGCCACTAATTTCAGCAACGTCGTAAAATCACATCGCGACAGGCCAGCGGTTACTGTTGGCTCTGGCATAATATCGCTCGGCCGGGATGTGCCGAGCTTGGGCAAGTTTTAATCTTTGGCGGCTGGTTTCAAGGAATTACCAAATCATTTCGAGATTATTGAACCTTTTTTCACGCTGAAACTGCTAAGTAACTCACCAAACAGAAATAGGAACACTCTTTCTAATAATTTCTTGCTTGTTTATGCCAAACCCTGCGAATCCCCTTATACAGTTTTGACATTATTAGGATGTTCGTAGTTTACTAGACAAACTCAGTAAGCTGTACTTCAATATTGTCTCCTTCGATGTAAATTTAATTGGCTACACTGAAAAGTGGCTTAACTCCTCTGTTCCTGACAGCAAGTAACCATATAGTCTACAGATGTGATCGCGGTTAAGTCCGATTTAGTTTATAATTTGGCATCGATATCTGATACAGCATTAGCACTTTAAAGTTTGTTATTCTTCGTGATTTTTTTTCTGTTTAGGTCACCCTACAGTAATATATATCTACATATCTTGGATGCTAACACCTTAATCAAATGTTCTAGTTAATACTACATTGGTTATTAATTATATTGATTTTTCATTCGAACAATTTATCTAAGGAATTGCTCTAATAAAGACTTAGACTTAGACGAAGTTAGCTTCATTTCTTGTTTTTAACAAAAAATAATTGCATACAATTTATATAGTATTATTATTAGTGATATAATTGCAATCTGCTAGGTCTTTATTATTCAATTCGATGTAGATTCGAACGGGACATCACGAACGTCACATTTTAGAAAGTCATAATTCAAATCAAAATTTTACTGTTATTGGTAAACAGCTCAAAGAAGCTGGGGTCGGAAAATTTTTTTTTTTAAATTTGAAAGCTGGAATCGTTTGCCCATCGTTTGCCCATGTTTGCCCACCTTTTACTTTTTTTTGCCCACGTCCAGTTTTGAAAATATTCGACTTTGAAAATTTTCATCATTTTTCGAAAAACCAAAAGTTGACTTTTTTCA